GTCGGGAAGAGCCGCCCTTCCCCGAGTAGGTCCCGTTGTGTGGTGAGAAGGGGGGGGTCGATAATTTAGGGGTGGTTATGGGTCATAAGGGCTCTCCGGTAAAACCGGAGGGGGGTTGGGGGGGGTGTGGTGGGGTTGTTTACCGTTCCGGGAGACCTTTCCCCTCCCTGGGGGCTTTAACTCTTCCAGGTGGGGAAAAAAAAACCTCTTTCCAAGCGGTGTTGGGGTGCAGGGAGGCATTTGCCTAATTAAGCCGCGCGTGGAGCTAGTTAAAAATTCAAATTGGAGGGGGGGGGCGGTTTAATTAAAGTGCTCTCCCAGGGATTAAAAGCCACACAAAGGCTGGTGCGGGAGGACCTGAAGGTTCAAGCGAGTCCTTTCTCTGCCTGGGTTGGGAGGGAGGTAAGAAGTAAGGAAATAGCTACACCGAGGGGAAAATGGAGGGTAAAACCCGGGATGGTTTCATGGCATCGCTCTAATTGCAGTCCCCAAACTCCGTCACCGTGTCCTGGCTTCATTAATTGCACTGCTACTCCACGCTAACCGGTCCCCAAACTCCGTCGCCGTGTCCTGGCTTCATTCTTTGCACTGCTGCTCCACGCTAACGATTTGTTATCCATAAATCCATCTTTTTTTGGATGGGGGGGAGTTTTTCGCAGCGGGTTGTGCCGCAACCTCTCAGCAGCCCCGTAGAAATCCTGCCGTAACCTGTCACGGGCTTTTTGTACCCAAACTCAGGGAAAACAGGCTGGTGCCCACATACCAGGGTGTTGCTGCGCCCGAGGTGTGTTTGCTCGGCGTCTTAACCCCGGGATCAGGTCGTTTCTTTCTTCTTGTTAACCAACCCCAGGCACGTATTAAAACCACACGCCCTGCTGAATGTGTGTCCCCCCCAACTCCTCCCCGGGTGGGAGAGGTGACACCTCACCCCACCTCAGGGTGTTGAGGGTGTTTCAGCCGGGTTGGGGGCTTGGAGGGTCTCCCTCTGAGTGTGTGCGTGGCGTGGAGCTGGGCCAGATGGTGTCTTGTGCCTCCCCCCGCGAGCCCAAGGCTGGGTGCAGCTGGCAGGTAACGCCTTCTTGCTCCTGACATTCAAACCCCTTGTCCACTTGATAGCGTTTCGTTTGCCACCTAAAGCTCTGCTACTGCTGGATAGATAAAAAACAAACAAAAAAAAAAAAGCAAATGCTTTTCATTTTTCATTTTGGAGCTGGGCTGTTATTTGGCGTGGAGGAAAATGAGCTGGGGAAGAGTTCAAGGAGAGAAAATGAGCTGGAGAAGAGTTTGCAGACAAGTTGGGGAAGAGTTTGTGTAAGGAAAATGAATTGGAGAAGAGTTTGTGGATGAGTTGGGAAAGAGTTTGCAGAGAGAAAAATGCGTTGGAGAAGAGTTTGCAGAGGGAAAAATGAGTTGGGGAAGAGTTTGAGGAGAGAAAATGAGTTGGGGAACAGTTTGCAAAAGGAAAATGAGTTGGGGAAGAGTTTGTGGATAAGTCGGGGAAGAGTTTGCGGAGGGAAAAATGAGTTGGGGAAGAGTTTGAGGAGAGAAGATGATTTGGGGGAAGAGTTTGCGGACAGAAAATGAGCTGGGGAAGAGTTTGCAGAGGGAAAAATTAGTTGGGGAAGAGTCTGAGGAGAGAAAATACGCTGGGGAAGAGTTTGTGGAGGGAAAATGAATTGGGAAAGAGTTTGAGGAAAGAAAATGAGCTGGGGAAGAGTTTGTGGATGAGTCAGGGAAGAGTTTGCGGAGGGCAAAATGAGTTGGGGAAAGAGTTTGTGGAGGGAGAAATGAGTTGGGGAAGAGTTTGAGGAGAGAAAATGAGTTGAGGAAGAGTTTGCAGATGAGTTGGGGAAGAGTTTGCGTAAGGAAAATGAATTGGGGAAGAGTTTGAGGAGAGAAAACGAGCTGGGGAAGAGTTTGTGGATGAGTTGAGAGATTTTGCAGAGTGAAAAATGAGTTGGGGAAGAGTTTGTGGAGGGAGAAATTAGTTGGGGAAGAGTTTGAGGAGAGAAAATGAGCTGGGGAAGAGTTTGTGGAGGGAAAATGAATTGGGAAGAGTTTGTGGATGAATCGGGGAAGAGTTTGTGGAGGGAAAATGAGTGGGGGAAAGTTTGTGGAGGGAAAAATGAATCAGGGAAAGAGTTGGTGGAGGGAAAAGTGAGTTGGGGGAGAGTTTGCAGAGGGAAAAATGAGTTGGGGGGAAGAGTTTGCGGAGGGAAAAGGAGTCGGGGAAGAGTTTGCGGAGGGAAAAGGAGTCGGGGAAGAGTTTGCGGAGGGAAAAGGAGTCGGGGAAGAGTTTGCGGAGGGAAAAGGAGTCGGGGAAGAGTTTGCGGAGGGAAAAGGAGTCGGGGAAGAGTTTGCGGAGGGAAAAGGAGTCGGGGAAGAGTTTGCGGAGGGAAAAGGAGTCGGGGAAGAGTTTGCGGAGGGAAAAGGAGTCGGGGAAGAGTTTGCGGAGGGAAAAGGAGTCGGGGAAGAGTTTGCGGAGGGAAAAGGAGTCGGGGAAGAGTTTGCGGAGGGAAAAGGAGTCGGGGAAGAGTTTGCGGAGGGAAAAGGAGTCGGGGGAGAGGTTGCGGGGGGGAAAG